TACAACTGCAAAAAGTAATAAAAATAATTAGTAAAATAAAATTTGGTAAAAGAATTAAATATTAAACAAATATAATATAATAAACCAATAGTTTTACCTTCTAAAAAATATAACAAAATAGTATAATACAACAAAATAATCTTAATGTTTGACACTGTTGTCAAATTTGCCCTTGTTTTGTTTGAACATTTGACCCCTTAATATTTCATTTTAGGTCAAAAAAATACCATTGTTGAATGAAAACCGTTAGTCAACTAACGGTCAACGCATGGAAATGATATGGCAAGCTTACATAACATCGCAAGCTGACGTGGCAATGCTACATATGCAAAGGTGATGATGTGATAAATGCAATGTCAGCAAAAATTAATTTTTTTAAATAATTATATTAATTTTTTAATAATTTCAACCAATACAAAGATGACATGTGTCATCATTTCATTGGCTTAAATGTGAAATTGTAAAATTTGCCTTCAGTATCCCGTTGGTGGAGAATGCTTTGGTTTCTCATGAGCGTCACCATCCTCTTCCCAAAACAGCTGACCCCACTGTTCAAAGGCTTAACGTTCGTGAAACTTTGCTCCTTTATCGGACCAACCGGTGAAGCGCAGGCTCCCTGTTACCGAAATAATCCTGGAATGCATAAAAGGAGTCTACGTTCGAAATGGAGCCAACCCGCTTCACGAACCCGTCGCCGATCATTATTTCTTCGATGGGGATTGGATGGTTCATGCGGTTCAGTTCAAAAATGATTCGGCTAGCTATGATTGTAGATTCACTGAAACCAACCGTTTCGTTAAAGAATGAGCTTTGGGGTGTCTGGTTTTCCCCAAGATCAATCAGTATCGCAATCACATTTTAGGGGTTAAGACCACTCCCGAACATTATCAGGGCAGTTTAAAGGTGGTGTCAGACTAAAAGCTAAGGAGGCTTAGCATAAAGGCAGTGAAGGTGATCAGTTTGCTCCTCAACAACAGTGGGTATCTTTTAATGGGGAAGTTGAGGTAGTGGGAAAGAAAGACTTTAACATCATCTGAGAAGAAAATAAGCAAAGTTGATAATTCTAGAGCCCATGAATTGAAGTTCAAGAATCAGGTTCCAATAGGTTCTGAACCGAGCAAGAAGAAACAAGGTAGGAAGGACGAAGATGCTTCTGTTTATGCAAATAAAAAGTCCATTTTTAGCAAGACGGGTCCTCGGAGTGAAGAGAGTGTAAGTGCCCCGACGGTGCTGGTAGATCAAACTCAGAGAATAAGGCAGTCAAGGGGAAACCAAGAGCTGAATGATGAGTTAAAAATAAAGGCAAATAAACTTGAAAAGCTTTTTGCAGAGCACAAACTTCAAGTTCCTTCTGATCAATTCAGTTCTGCAAGGAGAAGCAAGCCTGCTGATGTACAGATTGAACCGGAACCAAGCTTAAAGTACACCGATGACCTTGGAGTGGCCATGGAGTTCACTGATGGCCTTGGGGAAAACTGAACGCCCCAAAGCTCGTTCTTGAATGAAATGGTTGGTTTCAGTGAATCTACAAGCATAGCTAGCCGAACCATTTTTGAACTGAACCGCATGAATCATCCCATCCCCATCGAAGAAATGATGACCGGCGACAGGTTCGTGAAGCAGGTTGGCTCCGTATCGAACGTAGACTCCTTTTATGCATTCTGGGATTTTTCCGGTGACAGGGAGCCTATGCTTCACTAGTTGGTCCGGTACAGGAGCAAAGTTTCCAGATATTTGAACAGTAGGGTCAGCTGTTTTGGGAAAAGGATGGTGACGCTCGTGAGAAACCAAAGCATTCTCCACCAACGAGATACTGGAAGGCAAATTTTACAATTTCTAAGCCAATAAAATAATGACATATGTCATCTTTGTATATGTGACATTGCCACGTTAGCGTAGCGTTTGATGTTATGGAAGTTTGTCATGTCATCTCCAAACGTTGACTGTTAGTTGACTAACGATTTTCATCTAACGATGGTTTTTTTTTACCTAAAATTAAACGTTAAGAGCTCAAATATTCTAAAAAAAATACATACAAATTTGACACAAATGTCAAACATTAAGGTTATTTTATTGCATTATGCCTAACAAAATCTACTTAGCTTAATAGAATGAATTTACAGAATGAAGAAAATGAATTTAATTTTGTTGTGGTTTGATATTTGGATTTGGGGGTATTTATAGAGGGAGAGGGGTGGGTTGGCCGTGATTTAAGGTATAGGTCGGGCAATAATGGAAGGGGCTCCTTCCTTGTGTCAAAATTTCCCTACGAATGCGCGCCCCTACAACGCTCCTTCATAATTTCCCCACGAAAGTGTATCTTCGGGAACGTGCCTTCCCATCGTAGCGTCAACTCGATAGAACCTAGGAAGGCGTGGTCCCTGAAACACTCTTTCCATCCACGTACGCAAAGCGCGTCCCTTGAAAGGCGCTTTATTATCCTTCTGTCAGAAGGGTGCTAGATCGATAATATTTGGAGAAAATGTTCTGACATATAATATTTTATATTAAGGGTGATTTTTTAATAAAAACACCGCATTTTGCACCTAAATTTGTTTTAACCCCATCCTTCTAAATTTTTAAAAAAATCTTATTAAGCTTTTTTTTATAATATTTTTAAGTATCTCCCACCAAAAATTTTGAAAATACTCATTAGTACTCTCAGTTTAAAAAATAATAATATATAATTAGACCCTCACTATTTTTTTTTTTGAAAACTCTCATTAAATTCGTTCATTTTTTAAAAAAAAATAATCAAACCTTCTTAAAATTTTAATATAACTCCAAATTGATTTTTCAAGATCGTCACTACGCTCACACTGCTTTAATATTGTTTTCTTCTCGTGCTCGTAAAGAAATATTACTCTGCTCATTTATCTATTGCTTGCTGGAGAAAATTTATGACAGAGAGAAAAAAGGAAAACTCTGGTAATTGACTTGCTTCATTTTCTCTTTTGACTTGTGGAAAATTACACATTTTGACTTGTTAAAAAAAAGATGTCAATTAAAAATTAATTTCATGTAATATTTTCAACAAAAAAAAATGAAAGCAGATGAAAGGAATGTTAGTTATTGGTAATCTTCAGGTATAATTCCATTTATGTTTGTTCACATTCGATTAGGTGCAAAGAATTTGGAAAGACTAGAACTAAGAGGAGGGTGACATTAGGTTTACTTTGGTCAGAGAGAATCTAAATACTCTATATTTTTTTAAACCTTCATTCAACCAAATTAATATACTTTATTATTTATTTATATTGATTGATAAAGACGTAAAATTTTATGTTAGGAGATAAACGCATAAAAGTTTAGAGTGGAACGAAGTTATCAAATTTTAATAAGTGAAAATAAATTATTAATAGAAAATACATAAAAAATCTAAAATATAAGAGAATTTAAAATTTTCAGGGGCATAAGTGTCCACACCCGTCTCCCTCGATCCATCCTTGGCCATATTTATTATTTATTCTCGTGTTGATTTCAATCCAATAGGTTGCTAACCTATGTTGTGGTTAGGAGATCCAAAGATTGATGGTTAAGGTAATAACATAGGAATGGATTGTTATTGAGGGGTGTGAGCTCATCCACTAGTTATGTGCATGCTTCAGCCTAGGTGACAAGTGGGTTAAGTGACATCCTAGAGTGGATGTACGATTGAGTTTTATTACTCATCTATTTAGTGTCTAAGTAGTCATAACATTGGTGACTATTTTTAGTTTTATGATCAAGTTTTTGATGTCATTATCAAGGAAAACAAACTATAATGACAAACAATTAGTGTCTCTTCTATGTAGTGTCCAAGTAGTCTTAGCAATAATTTTTTAAATTGCTTGTGTCCAGTTGAGTCTTGCATATTGGCACTGAAGTAGTTTTGCACAATTGAGTCGTAGATTGGTTTAATTATTGTTACATTTAGCTTATGTCTTCTAATTCTCTAATTTAGTTTTATATAACAAGAAAATCACCATGACTAGTTTGAATCAAGAAGAAAAATATTGGTAATGCTCAAAGAGTGTAAGAGCATATATCCCACATTTAGAAGGAAAACTTCTTTAAAAGAGTCTTTAAGAGGTCACCTTTTTTCTTTTTTACTGAACGTGGTAAGATAACTTCCTCACACGTTCGTAGTAATTGTTTGGTTGGCCAATTTGTATGATAATATTTGTATCCAACATATTTACAAAATGTTTAGTCCTTAGTTTTATAGGCTTGTCTCAACGGGTTTATTAGCTGTAGTCGGCATCAGTTTCATTTGATAATTGCTATTATTATCTCGTAATTATTTTGTTGTTAATCTAATTGTAAATCACTTTGGTTTTTGAGTTTACAAATTCTTAGAGAGATGGTGATAACCTTGAGGGATGACCGCCTACTACAACGATTATACATATCGAGGTGAATTCGTTTCCAAGACAGTGGTTAATACCACGACACGACTATTCGGTTCCTTACCAGTTTATTTTATTATTTAGTTGGTGTTAATAATCTCATTTCATAATTTCTATTTGTAAACAGAAAATACGATAACTTTGTTCCTGGATAATAAAAATAAGAGTGTACTAGACATCAAATCAGTTGTGAATTAAATTCACAGTCCCGGAATTGATGAAAACATCTTTTTAAGAATGAGTATTGATGTTATGTTTTGAAAAAAATAGAAGATGAAGATCAGGTGAAAACATGCTAGTGGTATAATAAGATAATCTTTTTAATAAGAGGATAATATTCTTGAATCGAAACATTTGCTTGAATTTTATAAAAGTTTATTCGTCTTCCATGTGATAACATTTCTGATAATAACTAAGTTGAAAGGATTTTATTACGAGTGACCAAAACGTTATCTTCTAAAATTGAGGGACTAATTTAGGTCGTTTACAAAAAACAAAAAAGTCGGACAATAGAAAGATGGTAATTCAAAAAGGCAACAGCTACCGGCTTTAACTTTGTCAAAAACATGCCTGTTACTTTTCTTTCAGATGACCTTATTACTCCATTAACTCAAATTATAGTGGCCCCAAATCTTAGTTCCTTGCATACTTCACACAATCGGAGTCCCTAAAGAAAAAAGGGAGAAAAAAAACTCTAATTTTCACCATGCCTGAAACTTTCTCAAAACTACACCCCTGCACTTTCTTCTTCCTCTTTACTCTTCTATTCCTCTCAAACAACCTCGCCTCTGCAAAATCTAATGGCTTCTCCAACATTTTGTCTCCCAAAAAGCTTGGCCTCGGGCGAGAGAAGCTCAGCCACCTTCACTTCTATTTCCACGACATAGTCAGCGGACGCAATCCCACGGCTGTCCGGGTCGCCAGCGCCGCCACGACCAACAAATCGAAGACCGGATTCGGTGGTGTCGCGATGGTTGATGACCCTTTGACGGAGGCACCGGAGCGGAACTCCAAGCTCGTAGGAAAAGCGCAAGGGATTTACGCATCCGCAGCGCAAGACGAAGTTGGTCTATTAATGGTGATGAACTTTGCCTTCATGGAAGGCAAGTATAACGGCAGTTCCCTTAGTCTTTTGGGCCGCAACTGCGTGTTTTCGACGGTGAGGGAGATGCCTATCGTCGGCGGTAGCGGCCTTTTCCGGTTTGCACGCGGATATGCTCAGGCGAAGACTCATACAGTCGATCTTAAATCTGGGGATGCTGTGGTGGAGTATAACGTATATGTCTTCCACTATTGACGTTATCGATGATGAAGAACCGCAATGGCTTTAGGTTTTCTGGTCTATATTCCTTCAGTTGGTCCTCTCTTTTGTTTTCTTCTTCTGGGTAAACTTCATCTTTTTGGCTTTGGTTTATATGATTTGGACCACCTTCGTGTTTATTGATTGTCCAATAAGTTCTCATCGCATTATTGCAATGTTTATTTTATTATTATACTTATCATCTTCCATATTAATGTTTATATATGATATTGATAATAAACGTACGTTTCGTTAATATTGTGGAATCCGTTGAGCATTTTTATTTATTGGAAATTAAACCAATGTCTAATCGAACTGTGATTGGCGTGAGAGATTATGCTATTTTTATTTATATTTTTCAGAATTAATTATGCTATTTATTATATATTCCTTTCCCAAGCTAAGCCTTAAGCTAATAGCTTTGCCATTAATTATGCTATTCTGCTCTTTAAAGAATTAAATCTAAATTAGAAACAGTATTTATTGAGGAGGGTAGTTTAAAAAACACAAAAATATAAGCATTATTCATTAGTTTCATTCTTTGTTTTATTCCAAACTGAAAAAAGAAGAGAAGTCCAAAAAGGTCGGAATAAAATTTTAGAGAAGAATGAGTGCAAGAAGGAGCAATTTGATTTTTGAAACCACACCTTCAAAAGGGTTTTGGTGATGAGTTGAACTTATTTAATTGGGCTGAATAATAAATTGTGGTCTGTATTTCAAGTTTTTTTTTAATCTACTTTTAGGTTTTCTAATAAGTTAAATATATCATACACTCGAGTAAATATGAATATTTATACAGACCGCCATGCTGCAAAATAAATGCTGGTGGGGTAAATTCAATTTTGAAATGGAAAGTGCACTATGCATTAAACAATTTTAAAATTTACCAAAGTTCAAACAAGGAATAGTCTAAAGTTGCGAGTAGGATTTATATAATGTCAGCATGTCCGGAGGTAGGGACGGGTCTTTATAACCAAAGTCTTCCATTAGATCTTTAATGAACATTATTTTACCACAATACGTAAATGCGCATTATACGGCCCATTTTATTTTATCTAATGGCTTTAATATAAAAAAAGTATCTAATGTATTCTCGTTTTTTCAGTTCAGTGCCTAAAGTTTTTTTCGTTCTAATTTGATGCCTAACGTTACATTCCGTAACTCAGAATGGGTTACGTCATGAAGGACGTTTAGTTTTCTCCGTTAAGTGACACATGTCATAATCTGATAATTTAAAAAAATAAAAAGAAATATTAAAAATATTATTATATTTATAAAAAACCCTTATTTCTTTTAAATTACAAAAAAGCCCAAATCCTCACACCTAAGCTTACCCACGACAGCAGACGATGACTACGGCGTGACCCACCGATTGGGTTTTGAGTGGACGGCGAAGAGGAAGCTAAATATAATGGCGGTGAGGCGAACGGAGGTCCGAGGCGGTCGAAATCGTCCAAAATCTAAGGCATCGGGTGGGTTTTAAACGAAACGATTCCGGAAAATGGCGATGGCTATCCACGAATTGTTCTGGGGGTTTTGATCATGGCGACGAGGCGCTTCGATTGGGCTGGGCAATGACATGAATGGATGAGCGACGGTGGCGATCGGCGTGGTTTAGGGATTGAAATGAAGGTTTTTAAAGCTTTGGGATTATTTCAAAATTAATGTTAAGGTTGTTTCTCAAAGCATCGCAACCCTTTTGCCGTAAGATCTGGTTGCCTTCAACGGTTCAGATTGAACCAGATTCCAATCAGGGCTTTGTAACCCTTGACTAGACAACAGCCGCCACCAGCAGAGAATTCTTGATGTTTCCAAAAGGCCACAGCAGCAAACCAATGGAACCCTTTCTTCCAACGGATTCCAGAATATCAACCAGCAAAAATCAATCCTCACATGAAGACAAAAGACAAATAAATATCGCGTTTTTTTTACTATGTAATATTCTGTAAAAACGAAGGATTTGAAAAATGTGGTGGTGGAATTGATTATGGCTAGTCAAATTCTATGTTAACAAATCAAAAACACATTAATTTTAAAATAATCCTAAAACTTTAAAAACCTTCATTTCAACCCCTAAACTCACTCCAACTGCCGCCATCGCTCGTCTGTTCCTATCACCGCCCAGCCCAATCGAAGCGCCTCGCCACCATGATCAAAAACCCCAAAACAATTTGTGGATAGCCATCACTGTTCACCGGAATCGTTTTGTCGAAAACCCATCCCGACGCCTCGGCTTTTGGACGATTTTGGCCGCCTCGGACCTCCGTTCGCCTCACCACCACTATATTTAGCTTCCTCGTCGCCGTCCGCTCAAAACCCAACCAGTAGGTCACGTCGTAGTCGCTGTCCACCGCCGTGGGTAAGCTTCAGTGTGAGGATTTGGGCTTTTTTGTAATTTAAAAGAAATAAGAGTTTTTTATATATAATAATAATATAATAATATTTATTTTTAAAAAGAAATTTTTAAAATTATCAGATTGTGACATGTGTCACTTAATGGAGAAAACTAACGGTCCGTCACGACGTGACCCATTTTGAGTTACGCAATGTAACGTTAGACACCAAACTGGAACGAAAAAAACTTTAAGCACTGAACTGAAAAAACAAACATACGTTGAGCACCTTTTGTATATTAAAGCCTTATCTAATTTACATACTCTTTCTCTTTAAATATATATATATATATATATATATTAGAATCCACTTATACATTATAAAATTCTTTAGTTTTATACAAATTTATGATCGTTTGATAAGTAAAAATAATTGATTGAGATTGACTCCTAGTTATTTTTTCTTCAGAAATATCTTCTCATTTTCAACTGTAGTCTCAGCTATCTAATTTCACTAATCCAACGATCTTAAATCTGTATAAAACTAAAAAAGTTTTATATTATGTAACATTATCATATTTATATATTTATATATTATAAAAAATCGTTAAACATGGAGGACACTCAATTGAATGGACAATAAACAAAATGGTTTCTTTACCTAAATAATACCTTATTTTTAATTATTTAATGAAATAATACTTTCAAAAATTATTTACAACAATAACATTTATTTATTTAAAAAGCGTGATTGACATAACACACATTTGCTTACGCGATGGAAAGTTGATCGGAGTTTTCAAACATTACACCGGTAAGGGTCAAAATGAAAATAAAGAAAAATAATATACCAAAAGTATAAAAATATAAATTTTATCCAAAGAAATATACGCATATATATATATATTTGGAATACAGAGAGAGGCTTAAAATCCTTTACTACAACTATCCAGTATTACTCATCAGCACGAACAAGTTCTTGCATCTCCATTGGTGCTTGCATATATATCTTCAGATCAACATCGCTTTTCCAGGCCATTTTGGCGAGACCATCAGCTGACTTATTGCACTCTCTTGGTACGTAATGTATCTGTACAGTCCACTCCCTCTGAAGCAAGCTTAAGATGTGCGGAATCTTAACTGAAAAATTGCTGGACCTTGGCTTTTCTTGAGTCTCGAAAACTTCCTTGCGGTCGATTTCAACCATGATTTTCCTAAAGTTCCTTTCCCATGCGATTTGTAAACCCATGTAAATTCCCCATAGTTCAGCGTCGAACACCGAGCAGTATCCAATTCGTTTTGAGAAACCCAAAATTCGTTCTTTCCGTTGTCCGCGGACGATTCCACTACACGTTGTTAGGCCATTCAATGACAGTCTCGATCCATCAGTGTTAAGCTTAATCCATCCATCAGGGGGGCAGACCAAGACATAGGGCGATTAACTCGTGAAAGAAGATGTCGCAGCCGTCTTTCGAGTGGACACCGAATTGGGCTTTGACTTGAATAAAAATGTTAGAGTCGCCACCAATCATTTATTTTTCGCAAAAATTTTAGTTGATCGGATACCATCTTACTTGATTTGCGTTTTACCAGAAATGTGTCGCATTTGAGAGTCAGTTACAGTCAAGGAAGGATCAGTACATTTGAACTGCTCTTTCGGTACCATTTAATTTGTCGGTTGTCTTAATTCCGAAAATTAAAATTTAAAAATTTAATTCAAATTGCTTACCTTTGATCGATTGAAATTACTACTGAAAAAAAGTCAAAAAGGTGTTAGATGATAAAATAAAATATTAAATAAATCAAAGAGAGAAAAAAATTAAATTAAGAAAATAAAATAAAAAGAGAAAAATGTTAAAAAGAGAAAAATAAAATAAAATAAGATGCAGAAAATCTTAAACTTTAGGAAAAAATAAAAAATGTATAAATGTTAAATTTCGAAAGAAATAAAATGAAAAAAAATCGAAGAAAATATTATTTTTTAAAAAATGTTAAATGTTAGAAATAATAAAATAAAGAAAATAAATAAAACTTAAGGGGATCAAATTGGAATAAACTGAAATTTATGGACTGAAATTAATACTAGAAATGAGCTGAAAGAAAAAAAAACAAAAGTTAGGGGACCAATTTGCAAAATATAAGAAATGTAAACAGGGATCAAATTGAATAAATTTGAATGGCAAAATTACAACAGATGACCAAAACGATTTATACTTCAAGCTTATAGGGACTACATAAATAATTTTAAAATATTGTATTTGCACTTTAGTCCCTCGATTATGAATACACCTAAATCGGAAAAAAATCATTTTTACCCAAAAAAAAAACTCTCCCCCTCTCCAGAAAACCTCTCAACCCAAAACCGACCGGCCGAAGGTCGGTCACCTTCCCGACCACACTTTCGTCGCCCGCTGCTGCTCCGTCCACTGACTCTGGTGGCCGGAAAAATCAAAACTTACCAGATAGCTTCATCTTGCCACCCCGAAGCCTAAACCGAAAACCAAATCACCTAAAAAACCCTGAACAGTGTAGATCTAACTCAAAAGATTCAGGTATTACCTTTCTTGGTTCATCTTCTCGGCTTCCCGATGATCTCTACTCCGACGACACTCCTCTATGCTCTTACCGTTGATATATGTCTATTTTTGTTTATATTCGAGCTTTGCTTGTCAGTTGTTTTTGGTTTTTTTTGTATGGCCAAATGGTATATGGATATGATTGGATATTGCTTGTTTGTTTACTGGATTTCTTTTGTATCTGTCGTTATTGTTGCTTT